GTTTGTGGCCATAACTCAGCAACCTTAGCAAACGTTCATCAGATTATCCCAAATAAATCTGCACTGTCTTTTACCAAGAAGAGATAAGTTTTTCTACTGAGCACAAAAAGTTCCAGCAGAAAGTAATGGAACCGCTTGAGCAATAAGCAGCTGAGATTTTAAAATTGCAGCAAACAATGATTTTTTCCATTCGCCGAAAAATTCTGTCTCGAAGAAATTTCAGTAACAAAATTTACTTGTAATTTTAGACAAATGCGCTGTTTCGGCATAGTTCACTGAAGCCATCAATTCGACTTGTTGTGAATCACTACGAAGTGATGAAAGTGCCGCCAGTAAGCTTACATTTTTCCTTTGATTTTTCCATCCAAAGCTTTGCTTTGATAATTTGGTTAGCTATAACATATAACATGCACAGAAACTTCTGTATGCATATATTATTTGTATTCGGTAAGGTACTTGAAATCCTTGTCTGAGATCCGGATAATATTCGCAGTCTTGACGAGCAATACTAGTATACGGAAGTTTCTGTTTTATTTATTTTTTATCTGTGCAGGTGATAACTTTTCCGACTGCTTTGACCAGTGAAGAACTGCCTGATGGTCAGTGACATTCCAAACGCGTGTAACTCATTTGCTAAGATTACTGAGTCAAAAATTTTAATTAAACGTTGGTTTTTCAGGCTTCAATGTCGCGCAATTTGCATGGTGGCGGGGATGCAATACGTTTACTGGACCTATTTTGTGCCTATCAAGCCAAATTAACTCGAAACAGCACGCGCTACAAACACTGGGACCATGCGCTTTTGCTTACAGGGTGAGCTATTGCTTCCAATGTGCATAGCATAATAAAAAGCACTTTTGCCATCCAAAAAACTTTTTCAGTTTGTTCAGCTGAAATTGCTGCATAGAAACTGGTTAATTCTTTGCAAAAATTCCGAATGATTTTTGAATTTATATTGGATAATAGGGAAGTGAGCATTTTCGTTGCAACGGAACACATATTGACGAGACCCGATCTGTGTACTTGGATATCAGCCCGAATTTTTCAGCTCAACAAGCCACGCTTGTTGGATGTACGCATGAATTTTTGTGAATGCGCACGACCTCAGTTGGTTCTGTGAAGGTCAAAATATATGCTGTTAAGCAAGCGAATGTTGATCCAAGCGTAATGGGCCGAATATATTCCGGGCAAACGCGTGGGAGACGCTAGAAAGCTGAAATTTTTCGGAGAATTTAGCAAAGACAAGATACGCAACTCTTCAATTGAAAAAAGAGAGACTGCACTTCTTCGAAACTTAACATTCCATGACATTCACATGATGTGCGCTTCTACACGAATGAACTGCATGTACAAATGCATGGTACTAAACAATAAAATACAGTGATGTTATAGGTACGATCTGTATCGTGGTAATGTTCGAACGGTTGCTGGTTATGCACCAGTGAAAGGCATGTGTACCGAAGCAAGAAGCTGCACAATCAGTGAAGGCCTTGATTTTGGTGCAGTTTTTGTGATAGCACACGAAATGGGCCATAGGTTGGTGATACATATTTCTGAAACTACTACTGCGATTTAGGACTAAAGAGGCTAAGAACAGTAAATTTCGATTACAGTGCAACAGACACAGTATCTA